GGTGGTGGTGGTGGTGGTGGTGGTCATGGTGGTGATGGTGATGGTGGTGGTGGTGGTGGTGGTGGTCGTGGTCATGGTCATGGTGGTGGTGGTGGTGATGGTGGTGGTGGTGACAGTGACATTGGTGATGGTGGTGGTGGTGACAATGACATTGGTGATGGTGGTGATGGTGCTGGTGATGCTGGTGATGGTGATGAGGGTGGTGGTGATGCTGATGGTGACAATAGCAGTTCGCTTATGGAATATTTATAGTACCTTAGAAACCATGGTACAGACTATCCACATATTAATTTCCATCTATGGCAAGAACTATTTTTATCTTCACATAGATGAGTAGAAGAGAGGCATCAAGGTCCCTGGAAACAGAGCTAGGATTTGAACCCAGGAGGTCTAATATCTGAGCCCAGTTACTTAAGCACTATGTCACATTCCCTTTCAAAAATTAGGAAAAGGAAGGGTTTGAACTAGCTCATCCCCAAGTTCTCCAGTTCTACCATGTTTTGATTCTAGCAACATTTGGGCTGGCAAATTTTTAAGCACTATTTGCAAAGCTGTTTTCCTGAGGACTCACCCACTCCTCTCCCAAACACGCATAAACACAAAAATGTCAATATGGCAAGAGCAAGGATCTGGACTGACTTGCTCAGCACCACATCCTCACATCAAGGCATAGTGCCTGGCACATAGTAGGTGCTCAACAAATAGCTGTTAAATAAATGACTCCAGGGTTGGAGGTAAAGCAGACAGTCAGTGGGAAAGTTAATGGAATTTTATAATACATTGCTTTGAAAGTTGATTGAAGGCAGATACTTATTTTTCCAACTTGGGAAAATAACTAAGTAACTAACAGTAAACAGCAGAATTTGGCAAGCCTTTCCTTTGAAGATGTTATTTAGGCTAACCATTTCCCCATCCTAGTGTCTGCCAAGTGAAAGATATCAAAATTAGTAATTTTCACAACTGCCAAAACGATAACAATTATACTAGAGCACTGGTGGCAAAAGAAGCTTATTGTAATTATGCCAAATCTGTTTCGAGTTACTCTGCCCATTAAACATCTTCATCAGAATATCTTAGGGCAAGGTTGGCTTTATTGGGTGGAGAGAATATAATTTTCTTTCTGACTAGTGCAGGAAACATACTTCAGACAGCTGACTCTGAAATGCTGAACTTTTCATTGAGAAAGGTTTTAACACCGCGCCCTGCACAAGGCCACTTCATGCCAAGTCACTCTCCCTGGAGCCACTTACTCAGAGGACAGATGAAGTTGGGAGGAAGACAGTACATCGAGCAGCATCTCCAGCAGCTGGTTTCTGAGCCAGATCGTCTTTCCAGATGTTTGGCTTCCAGCTACAAAAGGGAAAATTTAGGTTTGAGAGAGCACGGATGTAAAGAGGCATAATATTTTCTGCAGCAAGCAATGATATTCACCAAATGCTTATTTCATCCAGGAATTGGCCCATGGATGGGACTCCAAATTTTGTCACTGGATTCTAGACTTCAATATAATGCTTTTAAAATATTTTCAGGAAATGTCCCTAAAGTTGCCTTTAACTAGCAATGTTTTCAGTCTCCCTACCTCCACAAAAAAATCCTTAAAATTTATCTTCCAGTAGAGAAATTGTTTAATTATCATAGGCTGCAACGTTTCTTGAGCATCTAAACTGCTGGTGTTATGCGAGGCATTGGGGGTAGAGACTGAAGACTACGGTTCTCCACCTTGGGCCCTTCTCTCAAGCAGCTTCCAGACTAGGCTTTGGCATATTGAAGCTGCTTAGAAACAGCTTGAGGTATAGCAAGAGGTACATAAATCCAGTGGGATAGGAAACTTAACTTCTGGACATTACTGTGGCCCCAAAGGACATGTTAACAGTCTCAACAGAAGATATTTTACAAAAGTTTCAGAATGGAGTCCATATAAGAAGGAGGGCTGACTAAATGAGCTCACTGTTGCCTGGCCAGGCGTGGCTCAGCGGTTGAGCGTCGACCTAGGATCCAGGCGATCGGGGTTCGATTCCCAGTCAGGGCACATGCCCGGTTGCGGGCTTGATCAATGACTCTCTCATCATTGATGTTTCTATCTCTCTCTCCTTCTCCCTTCCTCTCTCTGAAATCAATAAAGATATATTTAAAAATAAAACAAAATTAAAAAATAAAAAATAAATGAGCTCACTGTTGGCCCATTTTCCATTCATTCATTCCCTCTGCTGGCCAGTTATTTTACAACCAATTCAGGGCACAGACACCATGCTGTAGAAACAGAACTGATGAGGCAGCTGGAAGAGGTGGAGTGAGATTCCCCTCTATTTGGATTCTGGCCCAAGCTCTTATTAGTCCTAATCTCTGAGCCTCAGTTTCCTCATCTGCAAAATGGAAATGGTAATTCCTGCTTTTCAATCTTGATCTAAGGAGAAGAGAGAGCTTGTTTACATTTAGTAACGCTGTCCAGGAGAATCTTTTGTAGTGATAAGAATGTTCTGTATCTGCCATCCAGGCAGGAACCACTAGCCTCCACTGTGGTAACCGCTGTGGTCATCAAGCCCTTGGAACATAGCTAGTGTAACTGAGGAATGGATTTTTTTTTTAAATCCTCACCCAAGGACATTTTCTCCATCGATTTCTAGAGAGAGTGGAAGGGAGGGAGGAGCAGGGGAGAGAGAGAAACATCGATGCAAGAGAGGCACACTGGTTGCCTCCTGCATGCGCCCTAACTGGGGCAGGGAACCTGCAACTAAGGTACATGCCTTTCACCAGGAATCAAACCCAGGACCCTTTGATCAGCAGGCCAACACTCTAACCACTGAGCCAAATCGGCCAGGGCAGGAATGGAATTTTTAATTGCACTTCATTTCAATTAATTAACTGCACATGTGGTTGAGGCTCCCATCTCGGACGGCACGGATCTAGAGGGCCCAGGACAGAGCAGACAGCNCACATGTGGTTGAGGCTCCCATCTCGGACGGCACAGATCTAGAGGGCCCAGGACAGAGAGGACAGTACTTGCTCCCACAGCGGCCCCAGCAGAGGGGATGCGGAACATGGTATAGATAACACAGCTGCTGCTCTGCGCCTAGTCGGGACACTCAAAGACACGAGTCACAGACCTGTGCATGGAGAAGCCCACGGGCTTTAGCAGCACAGAGGAGGTGACTTGCAGGGCCAGGTGGGACTAGGAATGGCTAGTCTAGTGGGATGAGGTAGGAGTGGGAACAGGGCAGGGCAGATGTTCCTGCAGAGGGAACAGCATGTGCAAAGCATGGACAGAGGGCAGACCCTTAGAGTCAGGACCTGAAGTGCTTCAGAGCTGAAACTGGGCTCCCTGGGGAGCAGTGGGGACACTCAATTAGGAAGGTAGGCCTGGGCTGGGCACTAAGGAGCCCCACCTGCTGGTTTTCAGAAAACAGTTTCTCCTGGAAGCCATTCCAGGTTCTAAAGAAGGAATAGACAGTTAAATTTCATTTGTGACCCTAATCATAAACTATGACCTCACAAGCCACTACTTGGGAGCAACTGCTCAGCTGTGGGTGACTTCCCCGCCCTCTGTTTCATCCCCTCCCTCTACAACATGGCCCACAACGCGTGGCTCTCAGCCATGCCACGGGGGTCCTCCTGCTGCCACAGGCTGGCATCTAGGAGAGGTCTTCTCACCAGGCACAGAGGGCCCCAGGGCTCCATCCACGCAGATCTGCCTCTCATCCACCGACGAGGGCTTGAGTGTGTACACAACGAACAGCGCGACCCTGAATGTGGAGAGAGGACACGTTCAACGCAAGGCTCAGCCGTGTCTGCCAAACACATGGAGGTTTTCTACACAGATCCACCCAAATGCAGCTGCAAGGGAGGGTTTGGGGGGATCGAGTTATTCTGTGATTAATGCAATATTTCCAGAGACTTCTTTGCTCTATCGGGATTCATCGGAGCAATCAACCCTGGCTCTGCCAGATCAGTGGAGCAGACAGTGGTGAAGATGGGGAAGGCCAATGTCATGTCAGCTGGGCTGTTCTTCGGGAGATGGCCGGCATGCTGGGCCATCAGCCTGTAGTGGTGGCTGTGCTCCTGGAAAGTCTTGAATTCCTGGCACAATAAGTGTGTCTGAGCACCAGGGAACAGGGAGCACACAGCCCTGCTGGGGAGTCTCTCGTATCTGCCCCTTTTCTCAGCTCTTGGCCCTGAACAGAAATCTCCTGGAAGCTTCCCAGGAACAGAACCTGGCACTGCATTGAAGGGGAGTGATGCTGTGTTGAGTGCGGTCAGGAGAGGGCTCGGGCCTACATCCCCTCAAAAACCAGCCCCAAGGCTCTGCCCTTGCCCCTGGGAAGCTTGGCGCAGTACCTGAGCAAGTCCTGGATACTGAAGTGGCCCCTCAGCTGGCAGCCCAGGATGGCAATGATGGTGGGGATCTTGGAGGGGGCGAGGCCCGGCTCATTGAAGAGGAAGACGAGTCTAGGTATGAGCTGTGCTCCGTGAGCAACTTCAGCGTTCCGGGGTCCTTCCCTGGCGAGCCCGGGAGAGAGGCAGTAAAAGCTTTTACTGGAATGAACCAAATTTGCTGTGTTTCTGCTAAAAAGGTTTTCCAGGCTGGGCTTGCTTCGTGGCCCTCTGACTCCATGCTGTCAGACTCCCATTGAATATGTGTCTGCCGAGTGCAGAGCCGCTGGGGATGGGGCCCCGGTGCCCTCCACCCCCCGGAAAAACTGCCTCAAAGACAAGCCCCAATTATTGACTTCAACTCAGAACCTCAGGGAAAACTAATGGTGGTCTCAGAAACTCAGAGCAAAGAAGGCAGCCTGGAGTATGACCAGGAGCACTTCCCAACAGCCAGGGACTCAGACCTGTCTGGTGCGCGCTCTTCCTGCCCCCCCAAAACCACAAAGTGGATGAGCAGCCGCCGGAGTCAAAGGGGAGCAAGACAGAACTCAAACATCCAGATGCTCCTCCTTAGGCTAATCACAATGCACTTTCCAGTAAATTCTACTCCCCCCAAGAAAGCAGCCCCCAGGGTGCACGCCCACCTCTTAGAAAACAACAGGTACAGAGAGAAAGTGGGAAATGGGAAAGAAAGCAGGCGGAGGACTTGAGGCTGGGGGAATGCTCTTTATTGACCTTTCAGCTCAATACGCTGACTTCTGCCCAGCTCCGAGCCCCGCGTCCCTGACACTCAAAAGGGGCGGCCGGCTGTGCTGAGTGGATGCATGTCCACGGCCTCTGTGCCCCTGCCTCCCGTGAGATCCTGGCCCAGCGGAGCCACTGCTTCGCAGTATTTCCTCTCCCGGCCGCACCTTGTTCCTCCTGGAACTTGCGGCACCAAAAACCGTGTGAACTGGACCGTTGATGTGTCTGCCCCCGTCTCCCTTCTCCCTTATTCTGGTCACAGCCCCTGGTTTTCTTTGGAACCCCTTCTTTCTAACCCCCTCCGTCCGCCCAGAGTGCAGGCATGCTTCCTGCTCGGCGCTAGGCCTGCGGTGCACAGGGCAGCTCTCCCCGCCACCGTGCTGAGCAGAGGTGCTCCGAGGAGCCCCGCAGCCGCCTTGCTGCCACAGACCTGTGGAAAGGACACCAGCCAGGTGGAAAACGGAGACAGGATCAGGGACAGACCTCGGGTAAAGTGACATGAGTGCCACCAGCCGCAGCTGGAGCTCTGCCCCACTCAGTTGTAGGAGCAATAAATCCCCTCTTTCTCCCTTCTTTCTCCTCGCGCCCCCTTCTTCTGTCCCCTTCCCTAAGTTGGTTGGAGTGCATTTCTGCCCCTTGCAACCAAAAGAGCCCCGACTGATTCAGGACGACTTGCAGAGACAGTCAGAGGAGAGTGGGCTGGGAGGCGGTGCGTTCTCTTTTGCTGGCTGCACTTACTGAGCCCTGAGATGGTGGTGCGGGGCAGGGCCCGAAAGCTGCCTTCTGGGCCGCAGGCAGCAGGGAGACGGACACTCCCCACACGTGTGAGCCGCTGGGAGGGGTGCTGCTATAGACTGAGTGTTTGTGACCCTCAAATCCTTATATTGAAACCTATCCCTCAGTGGTGGGGCTTTGGGAGGTGATTAGGTCGGTGGTGAAGGTGACACGTCGTGAATGGGATTAGTGACCTCATGACAGAGACGCCAGAGAACTCCCTCGCCCCGCCCACCAGGTGAAGTTTCAGTGAGAAGACAGCCACCTATAAACCAGGAAGCAGGGGCCTCACCGGACACCAGGTCTACCACCTCAGACACTCAGCCTCCAGACTGTGAGAAATAAATTCCTGTTGTTTATAAACCACCCAGTCTACGGCATTTTTGTTACAGAAGCCTGAACAGTCTCAGACAGACATGCTGCCATCAGGGGACCCAGTGCTCTGGGCGTGGGCGAGGGCCATCTGCTCAGCTACTGGCCCACCTGCCCTCTCAGCCACTGGCCCTCCTGTCCCTTTTCTTGGCGTGAAGCCTTTGGTTTGAAACTCTAGGCTGCCAAAGCCCAGCCTACCTTGGTGATCGAAGGATTTCCACAAGATGGGAAAAGAGGGAGAGCTCCAGGTTGTCCACAGTGTTCATCCAGAGCTGGAAGACAAGCACACAGTGAGCCAGGGCATGCGTGAGCACGGGTCTCCAGGCAGCGCAGACAGAGAGCGTGCCATGCATGGTCTCCTTCGGCATGGAGGCCCTGACACAATTCCCCGCCTCTGGAATTAGGCCCANTAGGCTGCCAAAGCCCAGCCTACCTTGGTGATCGAAGGATTTCCACAAGATGGGAAAAGAGGGAGAGCTCCAGGTTGTCCACAGTGTTCATCCAGAGCTGGAAGACAAGCACACAGTGAGCCAGGGCATGCGTGAGCACGGGTCTCCAGGCAGCGCAGACAGAGAGCGTGCCATGCATGGTCTCCTTCGGCATGGAGGCCCTGACACAATTCCCCGCCTCTGGAATTAGACCCAATCTCTTGACGGGATGTGGAGGGCCTTGCCCAGGGAAGAGCTCAAACACTGCTTCTCTCCTTCTACTGTCTGCAGACGCCTGGTGCTTCACAGTGGGTCTAGATCCTAACAGGACACCCGGCTAACCAAGGCCTGCCCAGCCCTGGGCCCTGCAGCCAGTCCACACGCCAAACTCATCTCATCCTGCAAGGCAAATGCCGGTGTTCCCACTTTAGAGTTGAGAAAATAGAGGCTGGAACAGACCAATTCAGTTCAGTGGCAAGTCCCACCCACCACCAGCTAGTGGCAGAACTGGAACTGGAAGCTGAGGCTCNCTGGAAGCTGAGGCTAACCTTTCGGGTTGTACGTTATAGCACCTACACACCCAGTTGTGCAGGCAACACTTCCTTCACGAAACCCGCAGCCCATCCCACGCCCCTTCTCCCATACAACAGAACTGCGGCCCACACTGAGGTGAATGCCCTGAGGCTCTGAGAGTGAGGTCACCACTCAAGCTGCCTTCATTCATGCAGCTGCTCTCCACCCTCTGGGACCTGGTTCATGGCAAACCTTCATGTCTCGTTTCCATTTCCCTTTAGAGAACTCTACCATTTCTTATCTCTAAATAGAGCCATTTCCTAAGGCCCCAAATCTAGCAGGTTCAGATGTGGGATTATAATAGTGCATTCATCTAGCACCAAAATGAGCTCACACTTACAAATTACACCATTTGTGGGTGGTAAGAAGTGCCGTGCAAAGTCCTCAAATGATATCTGCATTCAGTAGGCAAGAAGATTGAGGCTCAGAGACTCTAAGAAACTTGCCTGGCGACGCACGTGTATCAATTGGCAGAGACTGGTTCGAAGCCTCGTCTGTCGAACTTGGAGCCATCCTCTTGTGTCCTCCCTGTATTCCCCGACAGGCACCTCCTGTCGACTGTGGCCCACGTGAAAGAAGCAGGGGCCATGACTCCATGCTCTTATGCGGGGAAGCAGAAGAGCCTCGGCGGATCCAAGCCTATCAGGAGGCTCTTCTGCTTCCCCTTGTCTCCAAGCCCACCCTCTTCTTGAGGGACTTGGACCATCAGTAGTCGGTTCTTCCACTGGTGTTTTAACCACCCCTTTTCCACTCCTCCCTCCTCCTCAGCCTACAGCCAGGCTCAAGACTCAGATCTTAAGTCCTGACATTTTCAGGACTGTCTCTAATCCCCCCTCCTCTGTCCCCTTCACCTTACTTCTGCCCCATCATTTACTTTCCATTAGCCTGTCAGTGACCTCCAAGTGACCTCCAAAGACAGTGTGCACATCACTGCCCTTATTTTACTTGATGTAGGCAGACATTTGGGAAACCTCCTTTTTGAAATTCACGCCTCGTAATCTTAAAATTTTATTTTATGTTGTTTGTTTAACTTTGGTTTTTATTGGTCGCCTGCTTCCTTAACCTCAGCTTTAAAAGCACCAGCTCACCCGAGGAAACCGTCTGCTCAGGAAGGGTGGAAGGGCGGTGCCCTCCTCATTCCAGGAGTGGGAGCTTGGGGGCTCCTGCCAGATGACTTTCGGGCCGGGTGGCAGCAGGGGTGCCTGGGGGCTGAGCGGCCTGGGCGTGGGCACAGCAGTTTGAAGGGGCTGCTGCCTTGCTTGGCGTGCAGCGGAGCCCTCCATGCACGCCTCCTTTCCTGCTGTGCTCGGGTGGTCCCTGCACCCGGCCTTGCTGGCTTCCTTCACAACCTTTTTGTTCATCTTCAGATCCAGTCCAGAGTGTTCTTCCAGTGGGGCTCACTTAGCTCATAATTTTCTTAGGATTTGGAGGGGTTATATTAATGAGTAAGATTGGCCTTCAATTTTTAATTCCCCATACTGTCCTTTTTTGTTCTGGTATCAAGATTAGCTCATAAAATCATCTGGAGTGTTCCTTTTCCAGTTTCCTGGAGGAGTTTTGGAGGGTAGGGGGGCCTGTTTCCTGACAGGTAGAATCTTCTCCACAGACCCCCCAGCCTAGACTTTCTTTGTAAATATTGTTTATAAGATTTTAAACCTGTGATTCCACTTATTTGATGGTTATGGGACCACTTGAGTTTTTTATTTCTTTTTGAGTGAGTTTCAGAAGCTTACATTTTCTTGGAGATTGTTCAGATGAGCCAAGTGTTGACAGTTATTGGCACAAAGGCGCTGACCCGCTTCCCTGTGCCCTGTGCATGGCTCATGCCCAGAGGCTCTGCCTTCCTCCCCCTTGCTCGGACTCCTTAGGGTGCTTCCTCTCTTTCATCCTGACCAGTTTCGGCAGTTCGTTCTCTTAGAGCCAGTTATTGGCTGCTTGATCCTTTTTAGGTTTTTTTTTTTTCTATTTAAATAATCAATGTTCTCATCTTTATTACTCCTGCTCTCTGTCTTGGAATTTTGTTTTTGTTTGTTTTTTGTTTGGGGTTTTAGTGTTTTTGTTTTGCTTTGTTGGTCTCTTCTAACCTCTTGATCTGCAGCCTCTGCTCATTCATTTAAAATGTTCTCTCTTCTAATGTGAGGTGGGGACTATAAAATGTCCTCCGTGTCCAGCTTCCGGCCGCCTCCCCACAGAGCGTGGGTATATCGTGTTTTCCTCGCACTCAGTCCTAAGTCCATTCTCATTTGGATTATAACCCTCGTTGATTGTCTTTATATCATTGCCCTTGTGGCCTTCAGGTTCCAAAATCTTCCCCCTGGATTCCTGCAACCATCTCAGGCCCCATCTCCCTGCTGGGGTCTCCCCACCTGAGTAGCAGACCTAAAATAAAATTCTAATGTTGCCATTCTCTAGTGAACATCCCTAGGTATCAGCAGCTAGCAAAACTTGTCAACAATCCAAATTTATTTATGAAGCCTTTATCCTAATAATTCTAAGGAATTTTTAAGTGGGGGGAATGTATACAAAAAAGTACCGAGTGTCACGGCACTCGCTTGTCACAACAAGATACAGAAATCATCTGAGAATTGACAACGGGATCATGAAGAACCCAGGCACAGCACAGGTTATCCCCTGGCCTCAGCACAATGCTTGTAAAATCCATAATAAACTTTTTAGATGCTTATGTTACGTGGGAAAGGGCAGGACTAACAATATCCACGCTAAGATCATGACTGTAATAAAAAGATAACAGTACCCACAGAAAGTTTGAAAAGAGGGTGCATTCAAGGCTGACAACAGTTGTCTGGGTCTCAAAAATAGGAGCTCCCACCCCATTTTTCTCTCATTTAAATCATTCTGTTATAAGCCTATATGATTTTTAACTCTAAAAAAAGTTTTTAAGATACTTCCATGGACTCCAGCATCATTGGCTAAAATGCATGTCCTGCAGCTTAGTGCCTTCAGCCTGCCTCCTCTCCCTCCCCTTCCAGCCTCACCTCCACTTGTAGCTACTCCTAGGCAGGTGGTCTCCCGGCCACTTGCTCTCAGTCCCCATGGTTGCTTCCATCCCTACATGTGTACAAATAGCATGCACTCTACCTGGAGCACCCCTCTGGTGCACTCGGCTGGACTCCGCCTGAGGCCTTGGTCTGTAAAGCTGAGCCCACTGTTCTCACCCCCACTCCCCAGATGCCCTGCGCCTGCCTCCCTCACACCCAGCACACTGTTGGGTCACCTTCGTCATGTCCAGGCCCCGGTGGCTATATGGAGGGGCTGCGTCCCAGGCATCGCCATGGGACATCTCTGTGCTGATCCCGTGTGCACTGAGTCAAGGATGCGTCCTCAGTGGGCCTGCCCCCTTCACCCCAGTGTCATGCAGAGCTCCTCACTCAGCCTCGAGCCTGCCCTCAGCATTTCTCAGTCACTCCTTTAAGGGAGTGCTTGTGAATGGCAGGCACCATTCGGAGCGATCGGCACGTATTTTTTAAACCCTCATATATATAGCACCTTGCAGTTTCTAAGTCCTTTCCCCAATGCCATCTGCTTTGACACACACACCAGCCTGTTACAGAAGATGCTGGTCTCTACTTCGCACTAGTGAAAACTGCAACTCAGGGAGGCCAGGAGACTTGCCCAGGGCCACTGGCGGTGGGATTTCATGACAAAGCGGGACCCCTGGGCTCCAAGCCTTTGAGGTTTTCCCACCACAGCCATCACAGCCACTGAGGAAGCTGGGTCTAGAGGAGGCTCCAGACTGTCCAGGCTTCTACTGTCACACACTCCAGGGCTCCAGCCCCACCTGCAGTTTACCTCAAAATTGCAGAGGATGTGCTGGAAGACGCCAACGTTGGTGAGGGTGGAGGTCCCGAAGCCCAGCTCCGCGGTGCCGGCGATGGCGAGGACCAGCTGGAAGACGCGGTGGCTGAGCAGAGAGGACTTCTGCCTCAGGAGAAGCGCCAGCACCTGCAACGGTTAACACGAGCCGCTTGCTCCCGAAGGCGTCGGGACTCTCCCTCACCGCTCCTCCCAGCACCTTGCTCAGCCCAGCCCAGCCCCTTGCTCTCCGAGCTGCCTCCTTTGGCCTTGTGTTCTCAGAAGAAACACATGCCCCCCCNCCTTGCTCAGCCCAGCCCAGCCCCTTGCTCTCCGAGCTGCCTCCTTTGGCCTTGTATTCTCAGAAGAAACACATGCCCCCCTCTCTGAGCTGCTTCCCACCACCGTCCACCTGTCTGGACTTGACACTGACCTCTCCATGAGGACCCCTGCTCCTCCCTGAATCTTCCTGTCTCCACAACGCCATTCTCCCTCTCTCCTGGCTTCCTCCCCATTGCTCAGTGCTCTCTCCCTTTATCCTTACTGGATCCTATATTCATAGCCATCCCCTAAACGCTGCTGTATCACCAGGAAGGCACCGACTACCCACAAACCCAGTTACCCCCCATATCACTCCGGGCTGCAGCCACCAGACGCGCCACTGAACTCCGTCGGACCCTGGGAACCAGCACACACGGGCACCCATGCCAGGGGGGAGGCACTGGGATCCCAGGGGCCCAGCCCCACGTCAGACACCAATAAGATGGGTCCCTCCAGCCTCATGTTGCCGTTGACCTCAGCCTGCAGCCAGCCTCTGCGTCTGGGTTCTCATCAGTCCCATCCCAGCCTTCAGCTCAGCTTTCCCTCAGCTCATTCCCTGGCCTGGATCTGCACAGTTCACCCCTTTCCCGCCTGTCCTCTCACACACGCCCTCTCAGGGCGCCGGTGGAAAGTGCTGCTGCTTGTCATGAACCGAGCCTGTGCCCGCCCAACACCTGCGCGCAAAGCGTGACCTCGCAGGGAGACGCCTGGGGGCCCTGCGTGGGGTAGTTGGGGTCAGATGAGGCCGGGGGAGTAGAGCCCTCACAAGTGGGACTAGCGTCTCCCCCATCCCTCTCTTCCACCAACAAATATGCGCTAGTGTTTCTCTTCTTAAAACACCCCTCCCTGACCCACACCCCCGCTCTGACCGCACTCGGTGCCCCTCGTCACAGGCAAACTTCTCGAAAGCTCCGCGCGCCCGCTGGCTCCACGTCCCCGCCTTACGTTCTCTTAAACCCCCTTCCGCTGGCTGGTGCCTCTGCCTGTCCACCTGCCTTGGAAGGTCACCAAGGACCCCGGGTGCCAGGTCCGACGGAAACGTCCCTGTCCTTGGTTTGCTTCATTCTGAGCACTGTTAGGCCACACGGGCCTTCTCAAAATGCTTTCTTCTTTCAGATTCTTTAGCAAAATTTTCTTTCATTTCTGTTCCCCCTTCTTCTCAATCTCCTTCATTGGGTTTTAAGCATATTTCCAACCTCTGCAAGGTCAGCTCCTTGTTATTCCCTCTTCAGTCCCTTTCTCTACTTCTCTTTGACTATGTCACCCATTTTCTTGGAGTAAATAGCACATGATGATACTGACGATTCTCACATTTACACCTCCAGCCAGCTTGCCCTCTGAGCTCAAGCCATCTGCCCCTCTTGATACTTTACTTTTGATGCCTCACCGATGTTTCAGACTTAGGAGGTCCCAGTGCCTCCCTTATTCACGTCTGCTGCCCCCTTAGCAGTGCTCAGTCCCGTGCAAACAGACCCATGGGCCACTCTGCCGCCTCTTCCTGAAAACGCAGCCAACCCACCCCTGTGGCCCTCCTCCAGTCACCTTTCTTTTTCATGGAGCTCTTTCCACTCGGCCCCCGGGCTGCTCTGTGGCACATTCTCTCCCCCAAGGCGCGGTGCTCCGGTGACAGCGCTTATTAAGGACTCTCGCTAGGGCAGGTTCTACTCCTGGCAGTGAGGAGGCAGTGGTGAGCCCCAGAGGGGCCACTTTCTAGAATTCGGGTTTCTGGGAAGATGGCCGGGTGACACTGAGCGCAGGGCGTGGTGTTTTGGGAAGAGAGTCTCCGACACTTACTGCATTCTGTTTATGCTAAAATTATCTTGGTTTTATCTTATTTCATCCTTCTTGATATGCCCATGAGAGCAGAAATTGCTTTGTACCTTTTTGGAAATGCTCACAATAATTATTAAAATCCCTAACCACAGCAGATATCTAAGTGCTAAATTGGGACAAATCCCACTGCTGCTGCTTTTAACAATATAATAAAAAAAGTTGTATATACCAAAAGCCCCAATTCTTGAGTTTTAATAAAAACCCAGACATACCCATTCACTTATTACAAAAATATTTACTGAGCATCTGTTTGGTCTCAGTAATACACTTGCAACAAGTAAGGAGCACCCAGGCCTTTAGAGGCCTACAGTCTATCGGAGATGAGCAGAGGATCTTTACAGCACTGTGAGTATGGTTAGCGTGTGAGTGTGTTAGGACTGTGGGTGTGGTCAGCACTGTGAGTGTGGTCAGCACTGTGAGTGTGGTCAGCACTGTAGTGTGATCAGCACTGTGAGTGTGTTAGCACTGTGAGTGTGGTCAGCACTGAGTGTGGTCAGCACTGTGAATGTGTTAGCACTGTGAGTGTGGTCAGCACTGTGAGTGTGTTAGCACTGTGAGTGTGGTCAGCACTGAGTGTGGTCAGCACTGTAGTGTGTTAGCACTGTGAGTGTGGTCAGCACTGTGAATATGTTAGCACTGTGGGTGTGGTCAGCACTGTGCATCACACGGTGCCACAGGTGAACCAGAGAAGCCACAGCCTCAGCTCAGGGACTAGGAGCCTCACCTTGGAACAGGGGATGGCGCTGCAAGCCTAGGGCACAAGTACACCAAGCCACACGATGTGTTTATGGACCCGTAATTGTGCAGGACTCAGGGAGGCAGGAGTGCACATGGGAAAGGCCGGCGGGTGGGAGGTGGGGCTGAAGGACAGGTTGGCGGCCAGTTCCAAAAGGCCTTTAGAAAGTAACCCCGGGAGCCTAGAATGTGGCATTAGTGGTTGGACACCTCTAAAGAGTCCACACAGGGGAGAGGTGTCATCGGGTCTGCTATGTAGAACTGACTGGTGTCCGTGGCCTTTGACGGGGCAGGGGGAAGAAGGGGCCCCTGTCCAGCTGTGCAGCAGCCCAGACAAGAGGAGTGCGCCCAGCGACATCATAGTGCTTTCTTCTCTCAACCCTGGCCTGGGGGCAAACAGCAGGATGCTCTCTCCCAGGGCCCTTGCATCTGGAGGCACACCCACCGCAGCCTGTGTGCCCCGGCCTCGTCTAAACTTGCACCCCAGGTCTGCTCCTGGGGCCCTTTCCTGCTGCCTACCAGCCATGCGGGAGGGGCCTCTGGGGCTGGGACCAGCCTCATCTCACTTTGTGGAGGGAGCAGCAATAAGTCCCAGTGGACACACAGTAGGCTCCCTGAACAGGCACCTATGCAAGCACACAGCACATTAGCTCACCTAGTCATTACAACCCTGCACAATGGGTGTTATTACTCCTCTCATTTTATACCTGGGAGGGCTGAGGAACAGAGATTAAGGACTGAAGATGGCCAACACGACAGAGCACTTATCCTGGGCCAGGCACCGCCACCTGTGCTGAATCTTNCTAGTCATTACAACCCTGCACAATGGGTGTTATTACTCCTCTCATTTTATGCCTGGGAGGGCTGAGGAACAGAGATTAAGGACTGAAGATGGCCAACACGGACAGAGCACTTATCCTGGGCCAGGCACCGCCACCTGTGCTGAATCTAGGCCTCCCTGCAACCCCGAGATGCAGGGGGCACGAGTCTGCATCACACCAGTGGGGAAGCTGAGAGAGGGTGAGTGACTCATCCAAGGTTCAACAGCAAGTTGGAGGAACTCAAACCTAGCGGCCGAACCCAAACCTAGCACTCTGGCTCCGAGGCCTGAGCCCTTAGCGAAGAACCGCAAATGATCCTGGAGTTCATCAGAGAAAGGTGCTGGTAGCTCAGAGCCCCTCCCTGGCGGGCTGTCGCCGGGCCCTCCACGTGGGCCAGTCTCTCTAGAGTGTCAGGACCCAAGGACTTCAGGCTTCCCTTCTCTAGAAGTCGCCATGGAGCGAATGCCCGCCGGGGCCAGAGGAGCTCCTCCCTGCCCTCAGGGAGCCACAGCCTCAGGTGGGGGTGGGTTTACCTGGTACCCAGAGATGTGCTGCATCAGGTGGTCACACATCACATTGCTGGTCAAGACCAAGTGCAGGACTTTAACAGCCGCGTACATGGTGTGGTCGTCTGTCGCTGAGGAAACGAGGCCCAGGAGAATGGCAGGCCCGCCAACGAAGTCCAGGCTGCTGGCCGCAGGGCTGGAGTGGAACACCCTCACCCCTGTGAGGGACAGGCCATTCCGTCAACTCTCAGCCTCGTCGCGGCGGCAAGGCCCCAGCAGCGTGCTGGGTAACTGCGCCGCCAGAACCCCTCTCCACTCATGCCAGCGGGGCCTGTGCAAATGGACAGGCTGGGAGGAGGGGCAGGGGCGTTGAGTCTTAACTCACTGAGAATCTATGTGAGTCCTTTCTGTGTCCACACCCCAGGGATTTCAGGTCACCGCCTCCAGCTCCACCCAGAGTGCCGGAGGAGCCAGATGCCTTCAATGCCATCTGACCCTCAGCCTGCCCCTACATCCTGCGGGGCTGGGTACTTGCACCAACTCACCCTGCTTTGACAGTTGCTGGTGCAAAGGCCCTACTGTGCTCACTATAGGGGCTCCGCTGTGCACAGATGCCAGCCTGGTCAGCAGCTGCATTCACTGTGAACTGTCAGGTGCCGGGAGGTGAGCTGACCTCATTCCAGGTGGGAGGCCGACTCTGGCAGGGTTAACCCGCCAGCTCGTGTCCTCCACGCCCTGGCTTCCACCCTGGCTCCCAGCCTACTCTGTCCTGACCACACTCAGAACTCCAGGCTGCACAAGGGACGCCGCCCACCAGCCCTTCCTTCCCAAACAAAAGCTCATGGCCTGACATACCCTGCTGGCCGACAGCCACGGCTCCAATCGTTCGAAGAGGACCCGGGAGGTGGCCAGCACAATTTCTCAGCAAAAACACGGGCATGGCATTGTCACGGGATGAAATGTTCATCTGGAGAAAATGGCAATGATTAGTCCTGAGATACTGTCCTGGAAAGGAAGGGGCGTCGTTCACAAGTCCCCGGAGGGCAGGCGCCCAGGCCCTGGCCCAGCGCTGGCGCTCAGGGAGTGAATAACTGAGCCAACTTCAGGAGGGCCGAAACCAAAACTCAGGTTCCCGCATCCTGCTCCTGGACTGTGGCTTAATCAGGGGAGCAGCTTTGGTTACACAATTGTGCCACTGATGTCCCACATGCTCAAGGTGAGGAGCCAATGGGGAAAGAAGGCTCCTCGGACACCTGGAGGTGGAACGTGCCACAAGGGCCTGCGTGGCCTCGCTCCCGGGCTAGGGCTGCGCAGTCCCTGCAAGCCCAGCCTCCGGGTTTCAGGGAGCCCGGGGAATGGGGCCTCGGGCCTCCTCTGTTGGGAGAAGAGCTGCTGGGGGGCACTTCCTCGGCCCCGACTCCTCCTCTTCAGCTGAGGGACGGGCTCTGTCCGTGAGGGTGAGAGAATGTACACACATCAGCCAAGTTCACCGGCAGGGAGCAAGAGAGCTCTTCACACAGGACTTAGGAAACAGGGAGTCAGTGGCATCTTCGCTGCAGACATGTCTGCCTGCTGTTTTGCAAGGTCGCTGTTTGTGGGGGGGGTAGCACCCCAGAAAGGGAAGCTCTATGGCGTTCTCAGCGTCGCAGAGGTTTTTAAATATTCTGTTTGTTCTTGCTCTACCCTGAAGACTGAAGAGCATCTACTGTCTTCTCTGAGCCATTACAAATCAAAGGTTTCGTTTCGGGGGAGTTCACGGGTGGGGACCCTAGGGTATTTAGCAATGAAGAGGGCAGCCCTCCCGCGTGTATCCACCTGCACGCGTGCAAGCATGAACGGCATTCACCAAGAGCCGGAGAGGCCGCGAGCGCGGGGCTCCCCAAGGGGCAGCGCGAGGCCGGGAGCGTACCTCCTTGGCGATCAGGCGGCTGTCCACCTCATTGTAGGTGCTTCTGATGTCCGCGACACGGGTGGTGGACGAGCTGGCTACGTGCAGGCCAAAGGAGACCCTTTCCTCTGCAACCAGGGGCACCGCTTCTGTACCAGGATCCGCTCCTAAATAACACATCTTCAATCACTTCTAGTCTCATTGTACAGAAAAGAAAAACCATCCTCAGAGAGTAAATATCTCCTGCTGCATGGCAAAGTAATCACTGAGAAAACGTCCGCATCTTGTTACACTGTATGTTGCTTGTATGTTGTGTGTTCCTATGTCTCATGTTTTGCCCCTACCTCAGTTTCTCTGACACTTATAAAAAATCACGGAGAAATTTCACAATGTTAACACCACTATAACACAGAGGCATTCCAGGTGTGAAATTACTAAGCTTGAAATACCTATCAAGGGTGTAACTTTGCTCCCCAAAACCAAAATGATAAGTCATTAGAAAGCTTACTTATAAAGAAAAGAAACAGGCTGAGCTGAAAGCCCTAAGATTTCCTACGAGCTGCATGTCCATGGGCAACATCCTGCTTGGAATCAGTGCCCTGGTCCCTGTGTCAGGGAGAAGCACGTATGTGACTTGAGAAGCATGTGAAAATGAGAGTCAGTGAAACTTTGGTTCTAGACCTGACCTGACCCATTGTCCTGGCCAGTGCTGTTTGCCAGAGGAAAGGAAGTCTGAAGAAGACAGGGGGCCTGGAGACAGTGCTCAGCAGCTCTCAGCCGCTCGTTACTGCACATCAGACTCTGTGCCCAGATCATTTATCACTCCCTCCAGATGGGAGCTGACCCCTTAACTCGACGGAGCGCAGACAGCAGCGCTCCCTATTCAACAGCCAGCGATCGATAATGAAAATGCGGATGTTTTGTCTGCCTGTTTAATAATTGAAAACAACAGTGTACTTTAGTTAAAAAGCTCCTTCATTAAAAGGAATGTGTCTTATTTATCTCACTCTCGTCTCCCACTTTGCTGATGGTATTACCCACCCACTCTCCTCCATTACGTGTTTTGGAGTTGAAAGATGAAGGATATTGTCATTTCCTTTTTTGTGACATTTTCTGTTGCGTTGTAAATACATAATGACCCAATTACAGAGGTCTTCCCTAATGGCTGACCTGTGCTGAGTTTACTCTTTATAAATATGCTATAAATAAATGGATGTCTAGTTTTAAAATGAAGTCAGCAAGATCCTTATCAATCAAACACTCCGCACCTTGGGCATGCACAGCTTGGAAGTTACCACAGTATCTTGGGCCAAGTTTGTTAATAACTTCCAGAGTTTCCATTGAGATGGCCTCTTCAAAGAGGTATGTGGGGCCAAGACGCCATGTTAATGATGACTTCTGTTTCCAGACTCGAGGGGTAGCGACAAACCCATAAACATCCACAAATGATGAAGGGTCCATCGAGAGGAAAGGTCCCGGCAAGGCCTGAATGTATAACATCTGTTAAAATGAAAAGGATGGGAGGTAGTTCACTTCGGAGTTAGTCAAATAAAATACATATGGATATAAAATGAGGTACCATATTCTTCTCTCAAAGTAAACATTTATTTTATCTAAAAACATTACAAAGATAACTCTCAAAACTGCGAAAACTGTAGCAAAGCAGTTTATGAAATGCTGGTGGGAGTAAGAGCGACATTGTGCCTTAGGAACCAAATTTGAAAGGAATATTGAGAGCCACAGAAACGCTCATCTTTGTGTCCCAGTCACCCCACCAAGAACCTACGTGTCCAATAGAACACATGAACTTTATGTGCCAAAAATAATTAAACATATAGATTTAAAAGAAATAAATAAAACTGTCTCTATTTGCAAATGGCATGTCCATGTAGAAAATTCTAAGGAAACTACAAAAACAAATAACCACACAACACCCCAAACTCCTAGAACTAGTAAGTTCAGCAAGTTCACAGGAAACATACATGATTGACACACAAAAGTCAATTGCATTGTAAGTCTAACAATGAACATGCAGAAACTAAAATCAAAATCAATACCATTCACAACTGCTCAAAAGAAAATGAAATACTTAATAAAACATGTATAAAATCTGTACACTGAAAATTTCAGAAGGATAATAAAATAAATCAAAGAAGACTGTATAAAGGAAGGGGCATGCCATGCTCCTGGAAAGGAAGGCTCAACATAGTAAAATGATGTATAGGTTTAACACAATCCTTTCAAAATGTCAGAAGGCTTTCTGTAGACACAAGGCTAACTCTAAAATTTAAATGAAAGAACACAGGCTCTGGAATGGCTTAAACAAATGGCTTAACAAATAGGTCAATTCTTCTTTTCTGAAAAAGAAGAACTGGGGGATCCAAGATGGTGGGGGACTGAGTGGAAGCTATACTGACACTTTTCTAGAACCAAACTGGAATTACAACTAAAATATAGAAAAATCATCCTGAATAATCAACTGCAACTGAAGACGAGCTGGAGAGCACCCTCATAACCAAGGAGGAAAAGTAGAGACCACATAAAGACTGGTGGAACTGCAGAGGCACAGAGGTCTGGCTGGGCTCCCACAGGCAGCAGCTGAAGGTCTGAAGGGAGATCTCAGCTGGGGGGGTGGGAGGGTTCCCACTGAGGACTATGGGGTCTAAACCCCAGGCTGGGCTTCCCAGCCAACAGCACCAGAACTGAGAAAGGTGCCCACATAACATCTGACTGTGAAAAGCAGGGGAGTTTCTGTCTGCCAGGGACAGATGGCTGAAAATGCAGGCCCCCTCTTAAAAGGACAACACTCAAAGTTTCATGTGCAGCCACTCACCTTGGGCTCAGGAGAAGGGAGGGCAAAGTGAACTGGAACTCTGTGAGGAAAATCCATGGGTGCTATATCTGGGGATAGAGCTCAGAAAGCAGCCATCTGGATTCCTTTGCTGAGTCATTCCCCCATACAGCAGAGGACATCTTCCTCAGGCAGATCTTTATCATCCAGGCAGCTTTTGCCTGGGGTGGGGGAATCAATTGCCCCACTCTGTTGGAAAACCTCTGGCCCCACCCTGTGCAGTTTATGCCTTGCTGTGGTCAACAACCTGAGGCTTATTAAGAGACAGATAACAATCAGTCTGTAGGCAGAGGCTGATATCTGGGTGCTTTGAGTCTTTGCCTGATCTGTTTCTGGACTGGGGCTTGGAAAAGCAGACCTTGGTCCAGTGAGCATCTTGGTCCTTTCCAAATGTGTCCAGCCTCAGCAGAAGGAGCTGTAACCCGTGGTGTGTGGAAAACTTCAAACAGGGTACTCAAGATCAGTCACAAACAGCATCTGACATTGGCTTGCACCAGAGACCCTCCAAAAATAGTGGGAGTCCTAACAGATCTACCTAATACATAAAAACAACCCCAAACATGCAGCCAAAATGGGGAGCCAAAAAGCAAGCCCCAAATGAAAGAACAAAAGAATTCTCTAGAAGAAGAACTAAATGAAATGGAGATAAGCAATCTATCAAACATAGAGTTCAGAATAATGATTGTAAGGATGCTCAACAGCGTGGGAAAAGATATGGAAACTATGAAGGAAATTAAGAATGGCATAGCAGAAATAAAGAATACATTAGAAGGGAAAAACAGCAGATTAGTGGAAGCTGAGGATAGAAACAGCAAATTAGAAGACAGAGTAGAAAAAAATGCTCAATTGGAGATCCAAAAAGAAAACAACAACAATGAAACATAACAATATTTGCATCAGAGGAGTACCAGGAGGTGAAGAAGGTGATCAAGGGATAGACAACCTGTTTGAAGAAATAATAGCAGGAAACTTCCTTAACCTGGTCAAGGAAAAAGTCACACAAGTTCAGGAAGCACAGAGAGTCCCAAGCTAGAAGAATCCAAAGAGGCCCATGCCCAGACACATCATAATTAAAATGCCAAAAATTCAAGACAAAGAGAGAATCTTAAAGGCAGCAAGATATCCAAAGGGGCTCCCATAAGACTGTCACCTGATTTCTCATCAGAAACTCTACAGGTCACAAGGGAAAGGCATGAAATATTCAAGGTAATGAAATGCAAGGATCTGAAACCAAGACTACTCTATCCAGCAAGGCTATTATTCAAAATAGATGGTGAAATAAAAAGCTTCCCCGACCAAAAAATGCTAAAGGAGTTTATCACCACCAAACCAGCATTGCAAGATGTTAAAGGGACAGTAAAGGAAACTCTCAACAAAACAAAAAGACAATCTACCCATTGGGAGAAGATATTTGCCAATGATATATTTAATAAGGGATTAATATTCAAAATTTATGAAGAACTCATACAACTCAACACCAATATCACAAACAATTCAATTAAAAATTGGGCAGAGGACCTACATAGACACTTCTCCAAAGAGGAGATACAGATGGCCGATAAACATATGAAAAGATGCTCGCTGTCATTAATCATCAGAGATGCAAATTAAAACCACAATGAGATATCACCTCAGGCCTGTCTGAATGGCTTCATCAACAAATCAACAAACAACAAGTGTTAGCAAGATGTAGAGAAAGGGAGCCCTAGTGCACTGTTGGTGGGGACGCAGACTGGTGCAGTCACTGTGGAAAACATTATGGAGGTGCCTCAAAAAATTAAAAATGAAACTGCCTCATGACCCAGCACTTCCACTTCTGGGAATATATCTGAAGAAACCCAAACACTAATTCTAAAGAATATTTGCGCCCCTGTGTCCACTGCAGCATTATTTACAATAGCCAAACTATGGAAGCAGCCCAAGTGCCTACCAATAGATGAGTGGATAAAAAAGCTGTGGGATATTTACACAGTGGAATACCTAGGCCATAAAAAAGATGGAAATCTTACCACCTGCAACAGCATGGATGGACCTAGAGGGTGTTATAGTAAGTGAAATAAGTCAGTCAGAGGAAGGCAAAGAACCTATGATTTCACTTATCTAAAGACCAATATAAATGAACAAACAAAAGAGAAACAGACTCATAGATACAGAGAACAGACTGATGGTGTTCAGAGTTCAGAGGGGAGGGGGTTTGGGGGACTGAGTGAAAAGGTGAAGGGATGAAGAAGCACAGATTAGTAGTTACAGAACAGTCATGGGGATGTAAAGGACAGCACAGGAAATACAATCAATAATATTGTAATAACTATGCATAGTGCCAGGTGGGTGCTGGAAATATTAGTGGGAGCACTGTAAAGTATATGGTTGTCAAACCACTATGCTGTAGCACTAAAACTAATTCATAATAATATTGAATATAAACTTTAATTGAAAAAAATTTTAAATTAAAACGAAACACTACACACCAGGCTAATTAAAAAATAGTGACAACACCAAATGCAGAAGAACTGAATCACCCCTTCATTGCTGGTGGGAATGTAAAATGGGGAAGCAGTCACTCTGGCATAGTTTGGCAGTCTCTTATGAAACTAAACCTGTAATTACCGTAGGCCCAGCAACTGTACTCTTAGGTATTCACCTCAGAGAAATGAAGATGTAAGTTCACACTCAAAAACTGTACATAAATGTTCGTAGTAGCTTCATTTGTAATAGCCAGAAACTGGAACCAATCCAGGTGTTCTTCAGTGGTCATGCATCCATATCATGGAATACCACTCAGCAATAAAAAGCAACGAACCACTGACACATGCAACAACTTGGGTGAATCCCAGAGAGTTATGCCGAGTGAAAAATCTAAGCCTAAAAGAGTATATACTATATTACCCCATAGATAGACCACCTTGAAATGACAAAAATTTAGATGCTGATCACCAAGGTTAGGGACAGGGATGGGGGAGAAGTGTGGTGGGATGAGGCTGTGGCTATAGCTTTTGTGAAAGGGCAACATCAGGGACCCCATGGTGACAAATGTTCTGTATTTTGGGAGCAGTGGCAGATGTAAGAACCTATGCTTATGATAAAATTCTGTGCAACTAAATACATGAACACACATACAAGTAGAACTGGGAAAATATGAATAAATTAGTAGATAATAGCAATGTCAATATTTTGGTTGTGATACTATTCTATAGTTTTGCATCTGGGGAAACTGGGTAAAAGGTACCAAGTCTTCTCTCTATCATTTCTTACATTTTAGCCTACAATTATCTCAATTAAAATGTCAACAAAATAAAAGAAAAATAGTTAATACATTATCACAAATTAAAAAATAGTAATTTCGAAGTCCATGTGGATAATTTTTTAAAATAATACTATAAGTTAACTAAGTAGTATTTAAAATTTTCTGTGTAATAAAGTCACAACTATTTTGTAAGGGAAAAACTTAAAAGAAACTACAAACTATGGTAAGATAGAAGGAATACAGGTAATCTCTCTTCTTTCCTTTATTTTTTAGTTATTTCAAAATACATTGATACTGTTTTTATAAGGACTATAAACTCACTATATCTATGAATATGTACATAAATACTTATTTTCTAAAGGAGAGCACATATAATTTCAGAAATATTTTCCCTACCAATTAAATGAGGTTTTCAAATAAAAAAGACGACGTTTTCAGGCGCCAGGCCTGCCTGGAGTGTGGCTGCTGTGCTGCTCTGGGGTCCCACGCTCCGGGCGGGCTTCTCTGTTCCCGGCTGCAGCTCCGCCACCCCTCCCAGCCCGGCCGCCCCTTTCTTCCTAAATTCCTGCTGTGTGTTCTCACTGCACCACTCAGATTGACTTATACGCTTAAGATGTTTCAAATTGCTCCCATACTATTTTGTTCAATTCAGTGTTACCTTTCTAAATTTAGCTTATCTTTCCTTGGAAATTAAAACAAAGGCTCTGACATTTGAGAACAACTCTTAAGCTGGGCCATCCCCAACCCAAGCTCTCCCATATTCTTACCCAGCAGGCATCTGCACCTGAACACCTTTATGTTTTTATCCAGTTAAATTCCACTTACTCTTCGTGAAGGAACTTGCTGAGATCATTTTGGAAACTCAACTCTGTCAGTCTTGGCCCCCGGCCACTCTCCATGGAACATTCTGGGGTACCTGGCCCAGTCCGTGGGGCCCTACCACTCCCCACCGCCCTGTGACTGCGTCTGGGTGGGTGCGCCTGTGGGATCTGGGGCTCACCCACGTGCCAGCTCACTGGTCTACACTGTCAGCCTGCCCACCTTACTCCTTGTGGCTGGAACTCAGAGCAGCTCACCAGTGTTCACTGCGTGCTGGCTGTGGGCCAGCCTGGCGGGGTGCAAGCGAGGACCAATATCATAGGACGCCCCTCTGAGCCTCAAGACACATGAGCTATCTCACAGAATACCAACCTCGTCTGCGAAACAAGACCGAAAAGCAACGTGTCTGAAAAAGGACCAGAAGGAGCCCACCCTGTAATCCTGCCTCAGCAGGTGAAAGCAAAGGCTCCATGCACCGCCAAGGGAACACCGCCCAGCCTGCCAACATGGGGGACTGCTGCCTCCTCTCCAGACAGCTCCAGCCTTGCCCCGCTCCTCCTTCCTGGTAAAAGTGCTCAACACACACAGGCACCAAATTGCCTCTTTCTGACAGCACCCAATTCAGAGCAGGCTGGCCGTTATTTCTTTCGAACCCTCCTGAAAAATCCTGCCAAAATCCTATATAAGCCCCTCCCGACTCCTTGTTAACCTACGGGGTAAGGGACCTCTTGCTACAGCAAGCTTAATAAATCTCACTTTTCTTTTGTACTATATGAACACTCCTGGAGGTATCTGACTGGTGGGCGTGGACAATTTCTAGCACCTGAAACAGTACTTAACACATAGTAAGTGCTCAGTAGATATTTAATGGGGGGAGGGAGGGAGGAAGGAGGGGCTAGTATTGATAATGACTGGAGGAAAAGCTGACTTTATGTTTTGGAGAACCTGCTTTTCTTATTCTCTTGCCGAATCTTTCTGATTACCAGTGCCTTTTATTTTTATAAGATAATTACCCAAAGGTAGCATCGAATTCATCTTTAGGTGTTCTATAGAATTTAGGTTGTTCTAACCTAATGAGTCTCAACCTGGGTAATTTTGTCTCACATACACACACACACACACACACACACACACACACACACAGAGNTGGAATACCACTCAGCAATAAAAAGCAACGAACCACTGACACATGCAACACACACACACACACACACAGAACAGACATTTGGAAATGTCTGGAGATATTTTTGGTGTCGTTCTGGGGAGAGGGGCATACCATGGCATCTAGGGAGGGCACAGACATTGCTAAAGGTCCTCATATACATAGACTAGGCCCCCAAAACAAAAAATTATCTGTCCTCAAATGTCAATACTGTTGAAATTGAGAAACCCTATTAATCTAAGGTTCACCATTCTGGCTGCATATTAGAGTCACCCAGGAGACTTTGAAACCATTACTAAATTACCCCCCCCCCACACACACACACACAGAGGTTCCGCAGTCACTGATCTGGGCTGCAGCCGGGGAGACTTTCCCTGTGACTGGGAAATGCAGCGAGGCTAAGGTGCTCTTCCTGGAACCCGCCCTGTGGTCTTCCTGCCCCTTCGCTCCCTGGCTTCCATGGGGACCGCTGGCAGTGGCTGGAGCCCGGCATGAAGGTCAGGCCCCTTGTCTCCTGGCTCCTCGCCCTAACCTCAGGACCTTGATGACTAAATGACAGTGATGAAACGCTTTCTCTAGATGTGCCCCATCCATCCCTTCTCTAGCAGGGGTGCGTCCTGTCCTGCCACTCCTGCTCTAAATCTGGCGCGACATGTCGGGTCCTCACACCTCGCCCTTCAGTGCAGCACAATCCAGACCAGCTCCATCAACTCACCGGGAAGCTTCTTACGAAAGCTAGCNCTCACCAGGAAGCTTCTTACGAAAGCTAGCCTGCGGCCCTGCTCAGACCTCCCTGTGCAATTCATACCTTAAATGTAAAAAGTCTTGTTTTCTTCACTCTAAAGACGTATTTTCTTATGACTATTTTTATGCTCGGAGCAGTCACAGCTATTCCTGTTCCTACGTTTTACCTTCTGCCCTAGTTGTGTGGCCTTTATTCCATTTTGTGAAGATGCCTTTCATGCCTGAGCTCAGTTGAGTGTTCTGGGCAGCGAGGGGGTTTCACTGGATACCATCCCCGCTGCCAAGAGAGCACAGAACTCAGCCGAGACCGCCCAGGGTGGTGGGACCCCGAGGCTCGGCGGCGGAGCAAGCACAGCTGGGGACCATCTCACCTTGGCTGAGCCAATGACCTGCCCATCCAGATAGGTAGACACAGTACAGTTCCTTTTCATTTCCTTGGTGACAACCACAGCCAGGTGATGCCACTGTCCACAAGCCAGCAGCTGGCCACACCTGACCCGAAGCTGGCGTCCCGCAGAGGGCTCGGATTCATCCTCAGGCTCCATCACATCTGGAAGACAGAACAGACACCAGGCCTCGCATGTGGCGTAAGGCTGCAACACCCCAGGAGGACAGGGCCTTGGCCAGAGGAGCCAGCCATGTCCAGCCTATAAAACAATGATAACAGCAGCTGTCATTGCTGAGATCTTGCTCTGTGCCAGGCACTGTTTTGACGACTGTTATTGATACTAGCTCATTTAATTTTCATGACAACCCTGTAAGGTAGGTGCTATCATGATTCCCATTTTGCCATCCTGAAGCACAGAGAGGTTAGGTAACTTGCCCAAAGTCACACAGCCAGGGTTCAAACCTAGAAGTCAGACTCCAGGTCTACCCCCCACCAGACTGCTTCCACAGTGCAGCACATTTGCTGGCAAAGTCCTTAGTGGGAGTGAGGGAAGGACAGTTGTGCTGTGTGTGAAAGATGCCAAGCCGTCCTCTGGGCCTTCCCATGTGTCCCTGTGAAGCAGTGACACTTTCAGGGCCCACAAGGAGGACAGGATACACTGAGCTTGGCCACCTCAGGCCACTTAGAGCCATCACACACAGTGAGCTTAGAGAGCCAGGATGTGATGGCAGAGCCAGGACCTGCCACCAGCACTACTGAACGTGGCTAAGGCTCCTGGGCTCTTGTGCCCAAGCTGCGGACTTTGCCCCATTTCCCCACGTGTTCCCCAGGTGTTCCTGACACCTCACCCAGTGGCTGAAACTCTTTCTCTTCCGTAGACACAACCAAGGAGAGATCTTCTGGGCAGAGGCTGACAGAGAAGCAGACAAAGGGCTGCTCAGTCCGGGCCAGGTGGCGCACCAGGGTCAGGAAGCGCAGCGGGTGGCTCTCGGTGACCAGGCTGTGCCTGCTGACCAGGAACCAGCAGGAGAAGGTCAGGCCCCCCAGTGGAGGGAAGGACCGAGCAGCACCTGTGGCCAGAACACAAGTGCCCTTAGGCTTTGTCCTGCTGTGGAAGCTCATCTAGTCTCCTGTGGCTCAGGTTTCACCAGGCATGGCCCTACTGTGTGCCAGCGCTGTGCCCTGATTCATGCCCACTTTACAGAGAGCCCACTCTTGTCTCCTTACTCATCTCTCAGGAAAAGTCATATTCCTGCCAGGACTTGAGCCTGGATCCTCAAACACTCTTTCTACTTCTGTCCCACCTATTATTCCATGCTGCCTTGCCAAGGGAGCAGAGAGGGGCACAGCCCTAAGACCTGACACCAAGGGACCAGAGAGGGGGCACAGCCCTGAGACCCACCGCCATCTGGCTTACTGATCAGCTGACTTAAGCCAGGCAGTGTGCTACATGGGGCAGAGGGCGAACCTTACAGGGACAGTGCTGCGCTCTGAGGAAATCCATGCCCTCCCTCCTCAGAGCAGGGTTGGCAGTGCAGGTGGGGCCTGCTGTCCTCACTGAACGAGCAGAAACCCTGGCTCTCCTGACACAGGGGCCTGGTGTTCAGCTGGACAGCTCTGTGCAAAGCGTGCCCAGGCCCGGGCCGATCCCATACTTGAGCCAAGGTCAGGCTTGTTCCTAAGCGGCCATCAATGGGGACCTCATGTTTATCTCCAGAGAGAGTCGTGGAAGGGGCGAGGTGCCCATTTCAGCCTCAGTCAGTCACTGACAAGATGAGTCAGCCCAGGCTCAGCCACCAGGTCCCCCACTGACCTCAGGGGCCTAGCTGAGCCCCTGCTCCATTCAGAGCCATGGGCGGGGCCCTGGGGATATGCAGTGAGCAGGACACCCTAAGAGAGGCAGGACAAACTGGAAGGACAGCTCAGCCACAGATACACAGGACTGAGAGGAAGGCCCACGCTTCCTTGACGTGCCAAGAGGAATCTGAAATCGAGGCTTGCTAAGACCTCACTCCCTGGGCAGTGGAAGGGAGCCAGCGAGCTAAGCCCAGGAAGCACCTACCTGTCCCAATGCCCCCAGAGACTGAGTACTCAGTGCTGCTTCCCATAACCGTAGACAGGGTCGGGATAAACAAACACCTGGAACAAGAAAGTGTCTCAGATTAGTGACCCACAAGTGGGCTCTGGCTGTGACAAGTTCCCTTCGTCTTTTGCAGGGGCCTCACTTGCTCTTAGACCATGAGACTCCAGGGACAGAAAGTGGCTGATGTTGGTACCACGCCCTAAGAAAAGGAATCCAAACTGGAGTCTGGAAGAGAGAACATTCCAGAATGCAGATGTGCCAGGGGAAGGAGAGGGTCCTGGCCTGTGTAGCTGGGGATGCTGCCCCTGAGAAGCCACTGAGGAGACGGGGTGTGCAGGATCCAGTTCGCTGCGGAGTGGGGAATGCTGATTGGAACTATAATTTTGTAATCAACATTATAATTCATCTGAGGCACTGGGAAATTAAGTATATTTTAAATATGCGAAAGCCTGTCATACCCATAACCTTCCAAGGACATGTCAAATTCCACGAAGGACGGAGCCAGGGCAGCCCTCTGAGGCTGCAGGTTGCGCGGGGAGGTCATGGAGATGAGGCTCAGTGCCGTCTGCAGGGCAGTGGTGGAGCTCCGGGACAGCCGGGGCCTGAGGGCCTGCGCGGCTGCTGGGCATGGGCTGGCATCCTGGGCGGCTCCTGCGGGCACAGCCTGTGACCCTGAGGCAGCAAGAGAAGAGATGCATCTTCGCTCGAAACATTTCTCCCTCTTCGGACAGAAGCCTCAACATTTCTATCACAGACCGGAGGAGGCTCCGCAGTTACCATGAAGTTATTTCCTAACCCCTGTGAGGGCCGCTCTCCCAGGCCCTCATGCTAGGGCTCTTTGCTGATTTGGGTAACAGTGAACTACAGTGACGGCCTGCTCCTCTTAGAAACTTCTCCCTCTAGTTCCAGTACATCCCCTCTTTCCCTTGCTGTCCCTGGCTTGCCCAGTGGCACCACACTGAGGTTCTGCCTTGGCTCCCCGGCCTCCACACTCTCTTTCACAGCAGCCTGTCTCCTCGAAAGCTCCTGTCTCCACCCCTGGCCGCCAGCCTGAGCCTGACCTCTTATTCCTGCTTTCCAACTGGAGCTCCTTGCCTCAATGTTCAGGTGGCCTCACACTGAGTGTGTCCACAGCTTTCTTCTCTCCAAGCTAGTTCCCTGGACCAGTGTCCTCCAGGTATCAGGCCTAATACACGAGGATCCGCCCAGAGCTTGGCCTCCTGAACCCCACAGCCCCCTAGCTGAGAGCTGTGCACTGCGCACCACGGTCCAGAAGCAGCGCCGGGCACTCCAGCTGTCCTGGAACCTGGCCCAAGGGCGCAAGTCCCTGCTCACCATCGCCTGTCTTACATGGGGGTAAGTGTCGTCCTTCTCTTTAGAGATCTGGTCTCCCTCTGGGGACCACTGATCCCTCTGCTTTCCTCAATGGTGCCATTGAGCAGCAGGCAAAATCATTTCTTAAATCTGTCTGCTTCCCCTTTGTTGTAAATGAGCCCTTACAAGGAATGCATGTTCTCTCTTAATTCCCTTTAACCTGCCCCTGTCCCTCCCTCTGTCCTCACCTGAGCATCCGGAAGCCCCTCCATGCACACAGGATGACCTGGGGAGTTTCATCGCAGCTAACAGAGGCGGGGGAGCTCCAAGACCTAGAAACTGTCTGGATACCACGGCGAGAGAAGCAAATGAAGAAGCCAGTTTACAGAGAAGTTTGCTCCAGCTGTACCTGATCACTTCCCTGCATCCTAGTGCTCGGCCCCTCCAAGCAGTCCTCCCTCCCTCTGCCTGGAGACCCTTCACCGAGCCCCGGGAAACAGCCCCTCCTCTCCCAGCACCCAGGCCCAACAGCTGATGAGTTCTGATGTGTTAGGTGCCTTAGACATAACCAGTGACTAGCTAGAGCCTCAAGTGGACCTTGGGAGGAAAAGAAATGTGTTGGAAAATAACTTTGTCAAACACTTTTTATGTCTCCAGTGGAATTTACTATTTAGCCGAATTAAGCACAGTGGCACTGTCCTATCCAGCAGCTGCATCTCCAGAGGCAGAAAAAGGCTGGCCTGGCCCGAGTCCCACGTCTGCAGGCTGGAAGAGTTGTCTTCCATGCCCTCTGCACATGGTCCTGTAGCCCACGGAGGCTCTGCAGGCTGGTGACCCCTGGGCACTGCCCCCCCACACACACACATACACTGTGGGGTGGGGCCTGGGTGGGGTGGCCCAGCCACAGGAGGTTAGGAGACTCCTGACCTCCCTCCTGCAGCTTTCTCTCCTCTGCCTTCAGTCTTCTGTGTCCTCTCTGCCCTGTGCCTCTTTCTCTCTTCCCTCCCACTGCAGCTGTCCAGGAAACATGGTTTCAGGGAGGGGCTGCCATAGGAGGGCCTCCATAGGATACAGAGGAGTCCTTGTCAAGAGCCTTAGCCACTGCCCCTCATGCCAGCTGAACTTCCTGAGTCTGCCTCTGGGCACCTCAGGCCCTCACGGAGTGTTCCCATGCTGGGTTCCCTCCTGTCCTGGCTGGAACTTCGCCCAGGCCTTGGGGCTCACGAGCTGGCTTCCTCGAAGCCCCGCCTTACTCCTAACCTCCCAGCTGTGGTTGCCCCAGCTCCACGAGCTCCAGCACTCCACCAACATCCCACAGCACCATTCTGCAATGTCACAGGCCCTCTGACTGTTGTCTCCTCTCTCTGAGACCAGTAGCTCATGGGGAGCCTGTCTTTTGCACTGCGCACTCTGCCCGCACAGCCCCAGGGTTCCTCCCTGGATTCGCAGTGTCCGATGCTGGGAAGGGACACTCCTATGGATGGACTCAGAAGGACAGCTGCATGGGGACAGCTGCATGCGGACAGCGGCTCCTGTGCACTCTGATGCCCACCGTGTGAGCGCGCAGTCAGGGGCTCAGCAGCGTTCTAGGCTCAGCATATGGTACCTTAACACATCCGGTTCAATGGCTTGAGAAGCAAGCTTTTCAAAAATCCTGATGAGGCCGCTGTGCAGGGAGCTGCTGCCAGTGGCCAGTGCCTGGTGGCAGGAGGCCATGAGGGTCCTGAGCATCCCCGCCTCACACATGACCTGGCGGTTCTTCTCCGACTTCACCAGGGACTGGATGTGACTGGCCATGGAGCACTGGATCTCCCTGGAAAGCTAGGAAGTAACCAAAGCCAGCGGTGAGTCCTTGAGGCCAGAATGTTCTGTGGGCGACATTGATAGGCTTCCACCTAAGTCTCGAATTGGTGGTGGGGCCAGGAGGCCACACCCATCACAGCCTATTGCCACTGTGCTCCTGCCAGGCTCCGGGGTCCTCAGATGTGCCCTCCTCACATCAACAGTGGACCCTGGAGGCCAGTCTGTGGGAGGACGTGAGCCACTGTGATTAGATGCCAAAGAGGCAGCCGCCTAAAACAGAGATGGAAAACAGGCAGGAGAGAGGCCTGTCTGCCCCAGAGAGGGGTGTTTTTGACCCACGATGTTGAAGTAATTTCTGAATTCATTGTTAAAATTTATAAGTCTGGAGATTTCACATAAAGTCCAGAAACGTGGCCTCTCTCAGAGGCCAGAGGGAAAGAATTTGGATAGGCAGGTTCGCAGTCCCATATCTGTCAAGAAGCCATTGGGCTGGGCAGTGGCTGTGCCCTCTGGTGGCTCCCACATCACCTCCCCACCCCAGCTGGCTTCCCTCACTAAACGGCCCTGCGTCTGAGTTTGCACCCCTGGCCTTGGAAACTCGCCTGGGAGCACAGGCCTCGGGAACTAGCCCTCTTAGTCGTCACGTATCAGGACACACCCGGAGTGTCCAGCCAGCTGGAGTCATGCTCCTGTGGAAGACTTCGGTGACCCTCCCGTCCCCCCAGGTGTAGTCTCCCTCCCTACCCCCTCCAGGTGTCCTTCGTCCTGCTCTCCACTTAAGCACATGCTGAGCCTGACACACAGGCCGCGTGCCCATATCTAACCCTAGTGGTCACTTCACTATCTCTCTCCCCCGGACGCTCACCGAGCAGAGTGCGCAGAATAGGCTCAGTAAATATCCGAGCCAAATAGAATATATTGTCTTGACAACCTTCCTTTTTTCATAACAAGATAACGCTCTGGAATTCCCAGCCCTTCCTGCGTATACTAATGGTAGTGGGGTGGGGCACATTCCTGTACAGAGACTCTGAGGACACACACATTCTCTTTTACTGTTGTACAAAATATTGTCCGAAGTGAGAGGGATACCAGTTAAAGCTTAATGGAATTCCCCTGCAGTGGGTGCTACGGGGGTCCCACCCAGATCTCCTTCCCGGGTAAGCATACCCATCACAGCTGCCCTTTTTCTGGAGGAATGCCCTCCCCTAAGTGAGAACTGCCCTGCCCAGGGGCTCTGTACCCCCCCATATATATGTTCATGCCCGCACACACACATACAAAAATGTGGGTGCATGCACACACACATGCACACGCACACGCACACACATGTACTCACATGTGCACACATACACATAAAAGCATAGGGGTACAAGCATGCCCACACATGAACACACATAAACATGTGCGTGTGTGTGTGAGTGCATATGTGTCACGCGTGTGCATATACAAACATGCATGCATGCACACATGTACATACATACGTGTATATATGTACAGACACCTCAGACTACAGCCAGTAAGGTGTATAATTCCCCGTGGTGTATAATTCCCGCTCAGAGCCCCCGCGGGCTCAAGCCAAGCCGAAACTAGACTTCGGCTGACAGCGCATCCCCACTCAGCTCCACCCTGCATTCCTCCCCCCCCGTGAATCCCATCCCACGAGCCCTGTCTTGGGCTCCACCTCCAGGGACCCAACCTGAGGCACCGGCCTGTGTTCCACATTGCGTGCCTTTNTAGACTTCGGCTGACAGCGCATCCCCACTCAGCTCCACCCTGCATTCCTCCCCCCCCGTGAATCCCATCCCACGCGCCCTGTCTTGGGCTCCACCTCCAGGGACCCAACCTGAGGCACCGGCCTGCATTGAGCGCCTTCGCCCTGGCTGCGGTTTCACAGAGAGAGACCCGGGGCAACGCAGGCGCCCTCTCGGTTAGTTTGCCAACGCAAAGCCAGGAGGGACCATGAAGGGGCTTGTGGAATCATCTTTATCTTACAGGACTGGCTTCCGGCCCCATCGGGGCTCGGGCCACCTCTCACCCAGTGTCTCCCCAAAGCTTTCCTGGAGGCCATCCCCACTTCCTCTTCTTTCTCCTCTTCCTCAGACAAGGATTAATCGCCTCTTCAGTGTCAGATCTGGGCAAAGTGCTAGACTTTTCAAAGTGAGTATGTCCCTGCTCTCCAGGGAATCATGGACTAAGGGTGAGACAGGTGAGGAGACAAACTCAGCCCATGGGAGCGGGTTCTGGAAGAGAATTAACGGGGCCTGGGAGGGAGGGGTGCCCCCACAGCCCTTGGCACGTATCACGGAGTTCTTGGAGTCATGAGCAAGTCCAGGCCTGGTACCTACTTTGGGGGCCAAATTTTACCTTGTGATGGGAATGTTCAGGTTGTGCCAGGCCCTAGACGAAGCACGTTGACATGCATACATTAGACAATCCCTGTGAGGAACACGATGAGAGGGGTATTGTTATTATACCCATTTTATAGATAAGGAGACTGAGCCCAGAGAAGTCGATTGCCCAGGCCACATAGTAAGGGTAAAGTCTGGCTCAGAGCCGCCTCACTGCACCGTCTCCTCCCCACACATGCGGTCATGTGAGGCCACCCAACCCAGAGACATTCAGGAGAACATTTGTATCGCTGAGGGACAGAAATTAATGAGCCGGCATCCTTCCATAGGCCGTGGGCACAGTTTCGTAACATACATGCCTCAAGGATTAAATTGTATGATGAAACATATGGACACTGTGGATCATCAGTTTCTATGCTGTTTTTTAAATGAGTGTCACACTGCTCACCCTCCAGCCTTCCAACGTGCCTTCCAGAGGAAGCGCCCACAGTCCCCGCCTCAAGCTGATGGCTTCAGTGCAATTCCCATCTTTACAACACACTCAGCAGAACTTCAGACTATTCAATTAACTACAATTATAGTTTAAAATGTAATTAAATGGTTTTCTAGGATTTGCCATTCTGGAATGTCTTCACTTTGCCACCATCACTGATGTTAAGGAGAAATCTAATCACTCAAAGACGGTGGTCCCTGCAACGGACAGAATGTTTGTGTACCCCGAACACATATGTTGAAAACTAACCCCCAGTGAGGTGGTGTTTGGCGGTGGGGCCTGTGGGAGATGATTATGTCATGAGGAGCCTCATGAATGGGATTAGTGTCCTTATAAAAGAGAACCCAGGGAGCCCCCCCGTCCCTCCCACCAGGTGAGGACAGTGGAAGCAGGGGACCTCATGCCTAACCAGACACCGAATCGCCAGCATCGTGATCCTGGACTTCCCAGCCTCCAGACTGTGAGGAACAAGTTTCTGTTGTTTATAAGCCACCCAGTCTACGGCATTTTGCTGTAGCAGCCTGAGTGGACTGAGACAACCCTTTCCCTCTCCCTGTGGTGTCTACACAGCCAGCTGAACTGGTAAAGGAACATGGGGAGTCAAGACTCATTTGCAGGAAACAATTCCGTACGTTTCCTTTGAAGAGCTCCTGCCTGTGGACATCTGCCCAGCATCCCCGCCGCCCTCCCAGGTCCCTCTCCGGGTGCTCCAGCGGCCCTTCCCTTCCCTTCCGGCGCACAGGGCCCGCTGCCCCTCTGCCCTCCTGCGCTCTTCACACAGCGGAAAGGAGCCGCCACCCTCCAGCCTTGAACTTCATCGCCCAGAACTTGGATTTTGGTAACTGCCGTCTTTTAATTTGGGGGGAGAGTTAGGGAGTCTTGGAGTGGGTGGGAGAATTGTATGAAGCAAGATGCAAAAATAACATCACAATGTATTATTATTAAGAATTAAAAAGAAATGCCTACAATCTCCTGTTTTCCTTACCAGCACTTCACTTACAGCTTTGGGGGCTTTGGGGACTTTGGGGGAGTTACTGGCTTTGTTTCCTCCCCCAACCCCACTCCTACCCCCTGCCAGCAGGAACACTTAAAATCTAAATATGCAAAAAAGAAAGTTTTCAAAACACAGAAATGCTGATCTTGCCTAATGATGCCACAAGTTTACTCCAAATTGCTCAATACCCCATAATGGAGGAGGGAAATTGATCCGCTTCATTATCACTGCAGCCCCGTCAATACCAATACTGCCTTGTTTTGAATAAAATGTGCTGTTTTTTTCAATGTTGGTTCCAGTAAAATGGGGTTTTAGTGAAAATATGAGCAGTAGCAGGAAACCAGTCTCCCCTACAAATGGATTGATTTTCCTAACGTGTTTCTTCCAGCGCAGGAGGGATGGTGTTCAGTTAGGACTGGTGGTTAGCACACGGCCCCCAGACTGGCCCGCAGGCTGGGCTCCCCAGGCAAGTATCCCCGAGCAGCTTGCAGGGTGGCCTCCCTCGCAAGGAGTTTCTGCTCTTTCCACTTAACAGCGGAGCTCTCAGTCCACTGCCCAGCGTGTTTGTCTTTCCTCATTTCTCTCCTCCAGCTTTATCTCCTGGTCCAGATTTATGGTCCCAGAGCCCACGGGGTCCCGGTGGGTGAGTTTGTCCCGGAGAGATGGGCTTTGGGTACATCAGTCCACACTGTGTCTTCTGCACATTAACTGTGTTCTCCTGACATAGTTGTAGAAACCATCAGACGACCAGCGTCTGCTTCCCCCAGACACTTAAAAAAAGCTAGAAATTTCTAGTGACCTCCTCACATTTGTAGCGGGTGCTGTTCCAGTTTGGCTGACATATTCCTTATGTGACTATTTCAGAGGAGAGGTGGCACAACTTAAGTGACCTCAGCTCTTAAGAGCAAAGCCTGTCAATGGGGCTCCAGGGATACACGAAGCCACAGGTTTGTTTTACTTGACGGGCTATTTTAGTTTTTACCTTTGCCCCCTTAGTTCTCGCTTGCAGTGCCCCTGTGGCCTTGTAGGCCCGGGAGTCTGTGATCTTGGTTTAGTGTAGGAAAGTCCAAGTCCCAAGGTGTCCTCGACGTACTTGTATAGACTTGCAACTTAGACCAAGAGGCATGCGGTGCCTGCTCCAAATCTTCTGCTTTTTTTCTTACAAATTGCACTCATATGATGG